CACTGAGCACTGGCCACAGCGCACGGCGCACAGTGAGCGCGCTGTCATTCCAGCGCACAGCGCAGGGCGCACCACCCCGGCCCGCACTGCGCACTGGTGCACCACAACTATGATGTATACATTTGTGTTCTATCTCCTTACAATATACATTCTATTGTATATAAAATTCATATATATATTTCCCCCCCCTGTAATGAGGATATGTCATTATGGCTGAAATTTATTGGTTCCCACCTACCTACCTTAAGGTGGATAGCAACCCCCAATTCCTCTGGAGGTCTTCCAGAGTGTGCGAGGCGGGGAAACTCCCCATTAGTTTCTGACCCGGTTGTTTAAATTCATGCAGAGCCTTCTGAAAACATAGAGGCCCAGAAACGTTTTTGCCTGATGACTTTGATGACTTTGACACGGAGGCTGAGAAAAGTGTCCTTGGGGATTCTACGCATGGAGCACTCAGCGATTGGACAGGTACACATACTTCAGAGCTCTTGATTTTCTCAAACATGGAAGCAAATGCAAGTGACGATCACAAAAGAGGGTAATGTCGACGATGCGATTATTATGCCAAGTCTAATCTGGTGACAACAGCTAAGTCCAATGATGATGAGCTTATGACTATAGTGGTCTTCAAGCGCTGTCCGAGCCAAGGAGTAAGCCTAGGATGGCTTTGATCTTCTGTGATAACGTTGCTTGTGACTCAAAGCAATGGTGTTTGCTGACAATCATGTGGAATACTTGGAGTTTTCAGCATATAAGTTGATATAACGATATTTGCCTTTAACATTACTGTGTAAGCGCCCCGGATATTGCCTCTTCCAAATGGTAAACTACCCACCATGCAAGGTTCTACCATGACAATCATGGTGTAACAAGCGTCGACGAAGACCGGCATCGTTCTCCCACTCTACACTCTTCCCCTCGTCACATACTCCCTGCACTTCTGCTAATACTGTTTTCCCATTGACCCCGCAAGTCACAATGTGGCAGAGAATCACCCGGCTATCAGTGTACAAGAACCAGGTTTTCTTTCCGAGTAAAAGCAAAGATCTGACCGATGGGCAGCCTTTACGGGAGCGGGAATGTGCTGCACAGTGCACAAGCAAAATATGTGGTCTTTGTCTATACTGGATTGCAAGTTGTAACTTCATACTAAACGTGTTACCAATGTACAAGGTCATTTGATCTTGCTAGCTCATAGTCCAGAGGGACCTTCCCTAGCATCAACATGAGGGCATTTCCGACCAGGACAGCTTGAATGAATTCAGTGAAGGACCGGGAGAACTCTCCAGCTGTCATTCCAGCTTGTTCTCATACTGGGCTGTGGAAGCTTTGCTGGATGGATATTGAAACCTGTCCTTATCTGGCTGTTTCATGCAGTTGTTATGATCCTGACTATCTTGCAATGCAACAACTCAAAGGAAGACAATACTGCTTTGATCTGAAACAAAAAAACTTGGAAAGAGAAATAGACAAAGGACGAAGAAGAAATAAGAATGGAAGAAGAGGAACACCGTTTATCAGTGGCGGACCGGCGTCGAGGGACAGCGAGGCGTTCCAGGGCCTTGGTCTCACTAGGCAGCAGTAGATCTTCCAGGGTTTACGGTTGACCTGGTAACAGACCCTCCAGCGGTCTAAGGTTTTCAACTCGCGAACTGTGAAAGGGTTTAACTGTTTTAGACTTATCAGGTACAAAAAAGGGAACAGAGCAAATGATACATGCTCGATTGAGCGATGTATATGGAGCCAAGGATCCGCAAAGTGATGAAAAGGACTCAAATGGACAATGCAGTGTCAGCAAAGCATCAACAAGCAATGTACATCTAGATACATACGAAAATAGCATAATGTAGCACAACAGAAGACTCAAGCTATGACCTGACCTGACAGATATTGACGTGGCACCCCATCATACACCACACATGTGAGAGGGAGAGGAGGGACTGCATACATGCAAGAAAGGTCCCCATTTGGGGGAGAGGCGGGACAAAGGTGGAGAGGAGGGAGAAGACCAAGATCGCGATGCGAAGTCCAAAAATAGTCTCCCGTCGAATGTCCAATCAATATCTGCCACAAAATGTTGAATCAGATCCTTTGCTTCATAGCCCGATGTAAGCTCTGCCTGCAAACTCTCTCTCTCTCTCTCTCTCTCTCTCTCTCTCTCTCTCTCTCTCTCTCTCTCTCTCTCTCTCTCTCTCTCTCTCTCTCTCTCTCTC